AGAGATCCATAGGGAAATATATATATATATAAACAGCGAGGAAGATCAGTGAAGGATGTGGTGGTGGACGAAATAGATTCATCACCACTCGAAAGAGTGGTTCTTGAAGAAATATTTTTAATCATCGGCTTCCACTTCCACCGGAAGAAAACGACGGCGAGGCTAATTATAGCCGCCGGATCGAAATCCTCCGAGAGCAGAACCTCATACTTAAACTAATGAGACCGTAAAAACCCTAAAGGTCAATCCTTTTTGGGGAAATTTATAGCACTTGTTTACAATATCCAGTTTTCCCCTCCGGCGATTGATCATTAAAGGGCATTTCGGTCATTAAAGGAAGAAACAAAAAAATGTTTGTGCTTTACACAGTTTACACTTTACAACAATGGAGTAAAACAGAACAAATTGAAATCTTAGATGGTTTCTTTCCACTTCTGCTTAACTATTTTTGTGTCCATGATGAGTTGATGGTAATCTTTTTCAAGCAACCAAAGTTTCAACCTCTCTGCTAGACATTTTATGTGGGTATATGATTGACTCTATGTTCCAAATACCATTGGTCAGAGAAAACCTTGAACATCTTTCTTTATTCAAACCATATGCTCCTGCAAATTTCTTACGGTTAAAACTGAAGACTGCTTCATGAACTGCAACAGGTTGATGAGTTGATAATGTATAAGTTACATGTCATGATAAACAAAGATTGCAATAATATGAGATTAGTATGAAAAATACATGCACATTTCAAAGCTTGAATTCAACCACTGGACCAATAGATTACAATTAGAAACCAACTAACAGCTTCCTTTCTCGTAGATTGGTCTGAAACAAGAGCAACAAGGGCTAAGTTCTCAGCTAGCAACAATAATTGAAAAACAGATTTCTACTACTCACATCAGTGCATTCAGCTGTTCACAAAATTAGTAATTGCATTGTACACAGTACACTACAAACTTTCTCAAAGTTAATCAACCAATAATGATGTATCAGAGCTTTCACAATCGTTTTTTGTTTGCAACTC